CACATAAGCAAAAAGAAAAAAAAAGCCGGAAGTGGCGCTGTGGCTCAAGTGGTAGAGCACTAGCCTTGAGCTGAAGAGCTGAGGGACAATGCCCAGGCCCAGAGTTCAGGCCCCAGGACCAGACCCAAAAAAAAAAAAAGAACTGGCAAATATGTAACTGCTTCTTTATTTTTTTTCCTTTTTTGCAATGCTAAAGATAAAATCCAAGTCATCAACACACATACACACCTGGTTTTGAGATCTGAACTTGAGGCCTTGTACTTACTTGGCTGGCTTGCTTGAACCACATCTCCAGATCAGCCTTTTGCTGGTTATTTTGGAGATGGAGATTTTGGAGACAGAGATTTGGGGCAGATTTTTCTGGCCCAAGCTGGCCTCAAACCTCAATCCCATATCTCAGCCTCCTGAGTAGCTAGAATTACAGGTGTAAACCAAGTAGTGCCTGGTCTCTTGCATGCTAGGCCAGCACCCTACCACTGAGCTGCATCCTAGCTAGTCCCTTTCTTTAGAAGATATTTCTCTTGGAACCACCTTATTTTTCAATATGCAAATGTGACACAAAAGCAGGTGGACTCAACATTTCCCCAGCTGCTCCACAGTTTAAGAAAGACTTACTCATGGATATCTCATCACAAATTTCTTTCTCCTCTCAGATAGCCAGAAATCTATTCACTGTAGTGAGAGTGAATTTAAGGGTTGGCTGTTTCTCAGCAACCTCTACTGACTACTAGATTCTCTCCCCTCCACTCCTGGTAATCTAAGGGACTAGCTCATACAAAGAACACAAATGGGCAACTGGATCTTTGGGCTACAAACAGAGTCATATCAAAGATCAAAGTTCAGATTCCTTGCCATGTCACGGCAGCCTCCACTTTCTGCCCCGATCCATTCCACATGTTAAAGTTGGAGCGCATTAATGGTACAGTGGAAAGCACAGCTGCCTTCCAAATATGAAAGCTTCCCCCTCACTCACACGCTTCACTCTCCCTGGAGGGTGGTAGCCTATCCGAGGCCACCCATTGTCCTTTTAAGCACACTCAAAAGCTATTCTAATAGGTTTACCAGGGGCAGACAGAAGGAAAGGCACCCCCCTCCTCTGTGCTCCTGCTCGGTGATTCTGTTGGTAGGATAACAACACAGGTGGTTATACAATTTGCCTCACCAACAGGGTAGCAGCTCTCTGAAGGCAGGGACTGAGCTAAGAACTCCCATCACCCTGTCACTAGGGAGATCTCACCATACTACATGCCACAAATTTTACCAGCATTATTTTCTTTCAAGTCCCCTCTCTTCTCCTTGCTTCCTCTTCCTTTCCCTTTCCCTTCCTTCCCCTCCCTTCTCTTCTTTTCACTTCCCTTTCCCTCTCTTCCCTCCCCTCCCCCTCTCTTCTGTCTCCTCCTCCTGTCTCCTCTTTTCTATCAGCTTTTAGCACAGAGCTTTGCCTTCAACCAGAGGCTTGGAAAATGTGTGCCCCAGGTCTGAACATAGCCAGCTCTGATACTAGCAAGGCTTGGTGTATAGTTCTAGACTTCTGTGTGTCTGGGACCATCAAAGAGCAACCAGATGTGAACTTGACACTATCTACACTTTGAACACATTATCTTCACCTTGGCTTTCCCCTTACCTTCCTTCAAAGGATGGGAGGAGAAGCAGAAAGGTGTTTCCAAAACGCCAAGAAGGCATGGGGAAGAGCAACCAAGGCTTCACCCATCGCCTACCACAGCCAAGATCCTCTGCCTGGATTAGATGGTCATGAATTCTTGGACAGCAATGCTTTTAGGGACATGGTAACCACTAGTACTCTATTCTCACCCCATACCAACACTTCATGGCTATTTCTTTCTACTAGCCTGTCCTGGTCCACTAGCTACACATCACTCCCAGGAATCTGCGCTTCTGTTAGATCAGGCCTCCTCTCAGCCTCCTGTGATTATGTGCCCGCAAATTGACCAATAGATGTTAAAGGTTCCACTTTGAAATGGACCAAGACTATTTAAATTACAACAAGGAGAACTAAGCTACACTTCTATAATCCTATAAACCTCAGGAAGCTGAGATCTGAAGATCATAGTTCTCAGCAAGCCCAAACAGGAAAAGTACATGAGAATCTTATCTCTGATTAACTACTAAAGGGCCAAATAGTGTGGCTCAAGTAGTAGAGCACCAGCCTTAAGCAAAAAAGAAAAATGAGAACACAAGGCCTGAGTTCAAGCCTCAGTACTAACACACTAACACACACACACACAGAAAATACAGTGAATTACAGAGCTGTATTTGTTGGTAAAAGCAAAGATGTCTCAAGCTTTAGGTACTTTAGTAAGCAAGAGCTCAAAGAACTCAGTCAAATTATATATATATATATATATATTTTTTTTTTTTTTTTTTTTTTTTTGCCGGTCATGGGATCTGAACTCTGGGCCTGGGTGCTGTCCCTGAGCTCTTCAGTTCAAGGCTATATAGTGCTCTACCACTTGAGCTACAGCATCACTTCCCACTTTTTCTGCTTATGTGGTACTGAAGAATTGAACCCAGGGCCTCATGAATGCAAGGCAAACACTCTACCACTCAACCACCTTCCCAGACCCAGTCAAATGTTTTTAAACTATTGCTAGGTATCTACTGTATACTAGCAGGCTAAGAAGATTAAATGTTATTTCATTTCATTCATACAGCAACCCTGTGAAAGTATATTAGTCCCTTTTTCTAAAGAAACAGAGACACAGAATTTCAATATTAGCTACTACTCACAGTTACCCACAGTGACAAACTATTTGAATCCAAAGTCAATGGCATTGTCACTACATAGTAGCTGCCTCCCCTCCACAAGGTTTCAGAAAAAACTAACTGGGAGCGAGGTATGGAAGCAGGAAGATGGAGAGATGAAGGCCAGCCTGGGCTACATAGCAAGGCCCTATGTCCCCCATCCCCACACCCACCCCACCCCCCGCAAAAAAAAAAAAAATCCTATCTAAAATTAAGCATAGTCACCAACTACATACATGTGCCTAAAGCAGGAGTTTGAGGCCAGCCTTACCTATATAGCAAGTTTCACACCAGCCTAGATTATTTAGCAAAATTCTATCTAAGAGGAAAAAAACACAAAAACAAAACCAAAAACAAACAAATAAAGCTGCAAGTAATATGAGTTGCCTTGTACTAACCATTACTGTCAGAGGGAAAACATGTATTTAAGTAAACATGTAAGCATGAGTCCTCATTCTCAATATAACAAAACATACTTAGTAATAGAAATATCTTGTACCAAGTCATGATTTATCAAATAGAAAGATATAGCTGGTCACTAGTGGCTCACACCTGTAATCCTAGCTACTAAGGAGGCTGAGATCAGAGGAACTCGGTTCAAAGCCAGCCCAGGCAGGAAAGTCTGTGAGACTCTTATCTCCAATAAACCACCAGAAAACTGGAAGTGGGTGCTGTGGCTCAAGTGGTAGAGCTCTTGCCTTGAGCTGAAGAGCTCAGGGACAGGGCATAGGCCCAGAGTTCAAGCCCATGACCACAAAAAAAAAAAAAAAAGAAAGAAAAGAAAAAGAAAAGAAATGTATGTACTCACCTTTGAGAAGGGCAACAGAAAGCTGGTCAGTGTTCAGGTTATTGACGTACTTCCCCAAATAGGTATTGAGAACCCAGGCTACGAGACCTTCCAACATGACTACTTCCTCAGGAAAAGGTGCTTAAGGTTCATGGATCATTCTTTATTTCTCTTTCCCATGGTCACAGAATCTAAATAAATAAATAAATGGGGGTGAGGTTAACAAAAAAAACTAGAAGCTTCCTAAAAGCTGACTTCCAGCTCTACCTGGCTGCAGGTAGATGCACGACCAGCCAGACTTAAAGGAGATGGGGAAAAAGCACTGTTAGATGCCCTGTGGTGTCATGGAGAGCCAAATTGAGAGAACTATGTTTTTCTGCAGCTGCAAGGAATAGTCTGCTAGAAATTCACTAAGGTACCTGCTATTGGAAACAGGTGTCTTTTCAAGGTGACTGCTCACTGAATGGCTGGCTTTTAGGTCTCACCTCAGGATTAGACTGCCTTGATCAGAAGTTCTCACAGGGAGCAGGGCACTGGTGGCTCACACCTGTAATCCTAGCTATTCAGGAGGCTGAGATCTGAGGATCAAAGTTCAAAGCCAGCCTGGGCAGAAAAATCCTGAAGACTTTTATCTCCAATTAACTACCAGAAAACCAGAAGTGATGCTGTGGCTCAAGTGCTCGCCTTGAGCCTTAGAGCTCAGGGACAGCACCCAGGCCCCCACAAACAACAACAACAAAAGTTCTCACAGGGGTAGGATTTGGCAATGGTAAAGACATTTTGATTACCATGACTTTGGAGGCTTCTATACTATCTTTTTTATTATTATTATTTTGTGTGTGCTGGTTCTGGGGCCTGAACTCAGAGGCCAGGCACCGTCCCTGAGCTTTTTCGCTCAAGGCTAGCACTCTACCATCTCCTCTTGCAGCTATTTTGGTGGTTAAATGGAAATAAGTCTCACAGACTTTTTTGTCCAAGCTGGCTTCTGCCTGCAATCTTCAGATCTTACCCCGAATAGTTAGGATTACAGGTGTGAGCCACTGGCACCCAGAGCTTCTATAATATCTTGTTAATAGAGACTTCCCAAGCAGCTATAACCATCCTACATAAGTAAGACAGCCCCTCTTCCAAATGATGTAGCCAGGGCTGGGAAGGTGGCTCAGTGGTAGAGCACTTGCCTTGCATGCCTGAGGCCCTGGGTTCGATTCCTCAGCACCACATAAGCATAAAGAAAAGAGCCAGAAGTGGTGCTGTGGCTCAAGTGGTAGAGCGCTAGCCTTGAGCTGAAGAGCTGAGGGACAGTGTGCCCAGGCCCAGACTTCAGGCCCCACGACCCGACCCAAAAAAAAAAAAAAAATGATGTAGCCAAAGATAACAGAACCAATGCTGGACCCTGACCAAGATGAAAGCAACAATGCCCTAAGACACACAAAAGCAATTTATATTCTGCAACAATTCCTATTAAGGCTTGTCTTAGTTAAATTTTGCAAATTTATTCATTGGGATCATTAAAATCATAAATGGACCAGGTGCTGATGGCTCACGCCTATAATCCTAACTACTCAGGAAGCTGAGATCCAGTGAATCTCGGTTTGAAACCAGCAAAAATAATCAGCAAAAAGCCAGGGTGGAGAAGTGACTTAAGTGGTAGAATTCCAGGCAAGCAAGCAAGCAAGCCAAGCATGTAGAAGTTACTGTCCCCTCCCCCCCCAAAAAAAGCCATGTAAATGAGAAGGCAATGCTTTATCTACTAACCTTAATGTCCTAGAACAGAGTTATTAGCACCTAGACATCAGACAATACTGACACAATGAGCCATTTTAAGAATGACAAACATCAGAAACTATATGATTACATCAAAGCATGCAAATTCAATATTCAATTGATGCTTTTACCACAATTGCCAAAAATGTATTTAATCATTTTCTCCTTTCTTCCCCACCCCTAGACAATTTTTTTCAAACACAAACACATATCGAGCAATAACTCTGAAGCTTATCAAAATACTGATTAGCAACTAAGAGTCAGTTTTACATCAAAGTTAGTACATTTGTGATACTTTAGCACATAACTGTATAAAGTTTTTGCTAAGGTTTTTGTCTAAGGTTACACAGATAGCTTTTAGTATTACAGAAGACTAATAGAAGAGAAACTGAGACACAGTATTTTCAATTAGTTCTCAGATCCCTCCCCTAGTAAACTCCAATTAGAACAGTAGATGTTAATCTTACTCCAAGCCACCCATGCTGGTCATCAGCCACCACACCAGACTTTCCAGATTGGTGATGGCATTTGTCCTGTTTGGAACCTAGCTTATTTTCAGGATCCTTTCCTAGGACTTTGCTCCACCTCTAGTGATTCATCTGAGTGCCAGAGGATATACTCATCCCAAGAGAACAGCGGTCACCCAGGAAAAGACCCAAAACAGAGTAAGTTAACTCAATCTCTAGAAAAGACTTGACATCTATCAGTAGCATTGTGCATTTTCTGGCAAGATGAAATTTTTGGTCAACAGTAAGTTATTATTTTTTAAGTATTTGGTAAATTACTTGCCTAATTTTTTTTCCAAAAGGAATCTGCAAGTGATCCCTGAGTTACTTGGTTAAAGTGGTTAGAAAAACAAATTACAATCCTTTAACACAATCTAAGTAAAAGGAACATTTCTCCATTGTAATTTTAGCCAGGTAAATTCATGAGTGACTTAGTAGCCCAAGCTCACTCTGTGAGCTACACACACACACGTGGGCAAAGAGCCAGAGTTAGAGTACTCTTTTATTTTTGTTGTACTTCTGTTAATTTCAGCCCTAAATGCCAGCTCTCCCTCAAGTGCCAACTACAAACGCTCTCCCAGTCAAGGGACAACACTGCCATTTTGTCCACACACTTTGGGGCCCTACCATGCTTAGTCCTGGAAGGGAAAAGAATGCAAAGTACAGATCCAAAAGACAGGGAGGAGTGGCCCAAGTGAGTCAATCGAGGCCCAAAGCAGGAAGCGTCCATGAGCTTGGCTGAGCGTCTAGACCCGGCTGGAGGCCTTGTTTCAAGGATTCCCTGAAGGAATCCGGTTTCAGGAAGGGCTGCCAGACTGGCCAGGATCCCGGTACGCTGACACCCGAGGGCCACCGGGGCTTCTAGGCAGCCGCCTGGCACTAACACCCCCCCCCACCCCGGGGGACAGGTGACACTGGAGTGGGGAGGTCATCAGGGCTCAGCCCACGGGCGGCCATGACCTTGGGCCAGGCCCCGCCCCCGGGGAAGGCCCGCCCCGCCCCGCCCCGCCCCGGGGACCGTCAGACCCGAGCACCCGGGCGTTCCTCGGGGGGCGGCCGGGGCTGAGCGCCGCGGACCGACGGCCGGAGGCTGGCAGGCTGGGGAGGGAGGGGGGACGGGGGCGGGCTGGTGAACCCTCCAACTGGGCTGTCGGGAAGGAAAAAAAACAACGAAAACGAGTTCCCCTCACTTCCCAGCGCGCTCTCGGCTCAGCCCCCCAAGACTCGTTCGCCGCAGTGGGCAGGGACCCCCCTTCCCAGGCCGGGCCCGGGGGGGGGCGGCGCGGG